CTCCTTTTATTATTTATAATTTTATCTGTGGTTTTATTGTTCTTGTTTTGATTGTAAAGTGTCCTTGAGTGTTTTGAAAGGCGCTTATAAATGTAATGTATTATTATTATTATTATTATTATTATTATTACCAATACTTAGCTAGCATTAGCACTGTAAACAAGTCCACATTAGCTACGGCTGCTACATTACTAGCATGACTTATTTGTAGTTGAGTGTAATCATCACCCGAAATGTTCGCAGTTTAAAGTTTTTTTTGTATGTAAAATCAATCATAAATTTGAAAAGAGGTGATAAAATCCCCTGTCAAGCAGAAATTCTGAATTGGCTCCGCTGTTCTGTCTTAATAGCTGTCCAATTCCTTCTTTTTTGCTTTTGTTGCTTCTTTGCCCTGCTTCTGCTTACTATTCTTATGCTCAGATCTTGAAAAACAAGGGATGAATATTATTTGTCTATTTTACGGTGTTGGATATTCCACCATAGGTTCAGCAAAGTTAACAGTAAATAACTCCCTTCAGTCTCCAAAGCTGGACCTGATCAAAATCAATACAGTATTTTGATTGCAGCAGAGCACACTACTACTAGTACTTGGAGCAGAGTGTGAAATCGACACAGCAGTGGGCTCATATGGTGCCTCAGGCTGTGAGTCGGTGGGAGGTCCTACCAGCTGAACCTGTCAAAAATTGTTCCTGATGTTCTGTGATTCGAGAGATTAAAGGTATCGGCGGTGACAGGCGGTACCGCCAAAGGAGCGAGGCTGTTTTTTCTTGCTACCTTCTTAACTCTCATATGTTTGCAATATTACCAAGGAAATAACGCCCGAGGATTCATATAGTTAACTCAATGTATTCGCCCAGGTGGATATGGTGGCAATAATGCAAATGAACGCTGTGTTGATATTTATCATAACGGGGTAAAAATATTGTTAATAAAAATTCAACATGAATAATCTGTCTTCGTGATGATGTTTGGCGACAGGGTGTAAATATTAGAAACAGCCCTGATACAGCAATATTATATCAGTGGAAGCATTATTGATTACGTACTTTATGACTCCCAATAGTCTTATTTTACGGTCTTGATGAAAAACCAATCGGTCCGTCACATGATCATTTGGAACATCGCCGTTACAGCCACTAGTTCAAGCAACCCTTTTCAGTCAAAGCTGTTTTCATCTCAAATCCTCACATTTTGATGTCACCGTTCCAAGTACTGTGCATATACCGGTACTGTACTGTATTTTTTTAGTGCCAACCCCAATCAGATGATTTGTGTGTGTGTGTGTGTGTGTGTGTGGGGGCGGGGGGTCGTTGGGAAATCAAGTCAATGTCCTCTGGAACGGTCCTATTTTTTTCCCTCTCAGAACACTTGAATATCACCTGGGACAAATGATGAGCTGAGAGATTATCCAACTACTTTTTTTTTTAAGCTCTTACATCTACATATACACAGGGTGTTTGGGGGGAAAGGGGGGTTCGTCACAAGCCATCCAGTGACTGCGTGGAAGTGAAAGCAGCCAAATAAACAGCGGCAGCATGCCCGTGCAACTCTGCATTCCTGCCCTATCGGCTAAGGTGGAGCCAGGATGCAAAATAATGAAGTCGTGGTGACACACACAGAGTCACAATGCAACACTGAGGTCACAAACCTGAAACCCCACCTATCCCGACATTGAGATTTATGATCGGAGTGACTATTCTGAGAGATGTTCCATCAACACTAAACACATAAAAAAGCGAGACAGATTGCGACAAATACATGTAAATGATACTGAATATGTACACAGTGTCACTGTGAATCTTAAAACAATGAACACAGCTAATTATTGAACGATTAGTTTATTACTGTGGTTTTAGTTTTCTTCGGTGTACAGCTGTAATAGATTTTGCTGGTCATGGAGGTATTCAGTGTTAGCATTTTAGCATTACAAGCATTCACCTAAAACTGTTTAGTTCAAGATACTCCATGCTGTTCGTAACCACCGAGTTTTAGCATTATGGTATTAGCATTACAAGTATTTAATTAAAACTGCTTAAATGTTGTGTTTTGAATACTTCAAGCATCATGTCATAATCTAAACAATGTTAACAATCCAGGCAAGTATTTGGACATGTTTGACAAGAAACGTAGCAGCTAGCAACTAAATGGATGATGACGGCCACCATCTGCTCTGGTGGCTGTTAGCTGCTAATCACTAATTTTTAAACAAACCAGTGAAGGACTACCTCTATAAATATTTACAATATGAGCGTGGTTTTCTTTTATAATTGTAATTCCAAAGGTTGTGCCTAAACTACAGTCTTTGTAGCATGTGGAGTGGGATGCTAGAACACATGCCAGAATCAATTTTGGAGATGGTAATGCATGGTCTTTGTACAACCTGTTGATCTTTAAAAAGGAAAATGGTGTAAACAAGGCTAAGTGACATTTCACAAAGCCACATGACAGAAATGCAGCCTAGAAAGTCACAATGTACCAAAGGTTCATATTTTTACATAGGCTACGCTTTTGCCCAACATTAACTCAAAAGATTGTCAACTTCTAGACTATAGCAATTTTAGCCAGTGAAGCTAATGAGGTTAGTTCCTGGGTGCGACATTTTCTGTACGGGCGATGGGGCGATTGCATTTTGCTAGGCAGCTTCACCGAAACAGTGTCAATGAATGACAAATGTCATTTTCTTCAAAAAGTTTGGTGAACTTTTGCCTGTCACATGACCCGCAAAAGCACCTCGTCCAGCCCAAGAAAGAGTAAACTGTCCTCAGCTGCCTCCCTCATGTCCCTACCGCCACCGCTGTCCTCTTTATTTGCCAAACAATAGCTTTTTGTATTTCCTCCCGCCGTGCCTCTCTTCCCCGCCGTTGCGCACATCTGCATCCTCCTCCACTCCCCCGGCAAGACCTCCGCCATATCCGTCGCTGGCGTAACGTATTCTCGCTAACCCTCTTGTGTCACCCCCCCTGAGGGAATTTGGGTGTGGTCAGGTCCCGCTGACATTTGGATCTGTCTTTGCGAGAGCCATCCACTGTGACCGGCTTTTCCTCTCTGACCTCTCCCTGAACCGGTGCCCGGCGTTTGTGAACCCTTCGCTTGGCATCTATTACAGCACCACACCCACCCTACACATTCCTGCATACGGTCCAATGATGACGTGACGCCACTTTGGTTTTGTGTCAGGGCTCCCGTGACGGAAAAGCACAAGCATATGTTCTCAATCTGGACTGGTTGTAAAGCCGCCTCGTTCTGGCTCTAGTAGCCTAATCGGAAGACTTCCATGCAGCTGCTTCATGAAAGAATGTCGAAATGTGCGCGCTAGAGTAAATGCGGATGATCGTTGGAATCAGAATCGTCTTTGTTGGCCAAGTGAGTCAAAACACATCAGAAATGTCTGTGATAGTTGGAGTCAGTCAGTCAAGTGCTATCGCAGAAAAGACACTTGAAGAAAAGACACATTTAGGACATACCTGTACACAAATACAAAATGCCAAAAGAGCAGGGGGGGGGTACATGCATAATGTTGTATTTGCATTACTGGTTTTGGAGGGTTTAGCACAATTAGGATGTAGGGTTAATTGGATCAAATCAACACACGCGCGAACATGTTTTGCTTTTCATAAATTAATGTTTGTGTTTTCTGTCTACTATATTGCCACATTGTTGCTTTTTTTTAAAGGATGGTTTGTTTCTTGTCTACTTTTATACAATTTTAGAAACAACCAGAATAGATTTTATTTCACAGACACAAGCTCTGGAAGTCGTCATTCTGACAATGTCCCTGCCTAACATCTCAAGCAATACAGGGCTCAATGACTTGCTTTGGGCTATTTTATGACCACTTCCTGCTTTCAGTAAGTGTAACTTTGTATCCCAGACGGAGTGATGATTGAATTTTTCACATCATTATGCCACAGTTTGAGGCATATATTTTTGTGGTCAAAAATTCTCTTTGCATTCAAGGCATTTTTTGTGTACAAACAAACATTTTCATTAAGAAGGGAGTGAGCATCGTCTGCACCTTCAAACCAAGCACCTTCTTTCAACAGAAATTTTGTGGAATTTGAACAAAAATACTTATTTGGGCATTTTTATTCCCTTTTTTTTAATGAATTTTGAAATAACATACAACTAGAATCAGAATCACTTTATTCCAATTGTCTGTGGAAGATTACATTCACAACTAGGATTTTTGTTTTTGGGGAACGAAATTAAGTATTATAAAAATAAATACAATTTGATTTTTAAAAAATGTACAGTGGTGATTCGACTGACATGTTTTTGAGATTCAAGCCGACAGGTCTTTTTTTTTTTTGCTTTGACTTGCAAGTACAGACTTGAGATAGACAGACTGGAGATTATTTATCTTCTATGAGGAATGATTAATATCAGTGTCGTACTGATGAGCTGAGAGGAATTGAGATCAGTCTTTATGTCTGTCTTAAAACGGATGACTAAGGCACACCAAAATGACCAACACAATGGCCATATGTGTGACAAAAATGTACTTTATGTGGAAAAAAATGTTTTATTTAACATTCCAATACTATAGAGTGTTACATACACTCTTCAACATTTTGTGTAATTTTTCGTTTTTTTTAAAAAAAATTTTATTCCTTTTATTTTTAGGTAGAACACGTCTAGTCAAAGCCTCTGCTTGTATATTTAAATCCCGTGCACACGTTCACGACCTCAGTCAGGCCCTCAGGCATGTTATCCTTCCTTTGGTTGGCAGATTATGACTGACAGAATTCAGGAATGACGGCTGTTTTTTTTTTTTTTTTTAATCAAGTTACTTTCAATCATTTATACATTGTATTCTCTAAGCACACGTGTTTTTTTTTTCCATCCATTATTTAGCAGTTCACAATGTCGCTCACGTGGGTAAGCCTCCTGAGGCTTCAGTAGAAAGTGCAACTGTCTGCAATGCTGGGCTAATTCACTGTGATCACCAAGCAAAGTGGGGAGTCGTTCGGGCAGAGCCGTTGAACCGTCAGCGCTCCTCAGGCCTGGCTGGCATGGCCGCCGGCGCATCAGCTGCGCTGATAAGAGAAGGGAAACCAGGGTGACCTCTGAACTACCGCTCTAGTCATGCCAGCGTTCTCATTCCAGCAGTCTTTAAACCCTCCGAAACTCCCCGTTTACCCAAACCAACCACCACCCTCCCTTCCCTACTCCCCCCCCCCACCTTCTCGCCTCATTCTTACCACCGCACACACTGGCAGGTGTGTCTGATGCGTATTACGGACACCTGCGTGTGTGTTTTAGTCATTCACATAATTTAAACTGTCACGCTTCATCACCAGGGACGGTTAGGGGTTAGGGTTTTAGTGTCTGTGGTTATGGAGTGTCGGGCTTAGGAGAAATGGGTTAGTGTTACGGGGTTTAGGATACGGAGGGTCAAAGGGCTGGGATTAGGGAAGTTTAGACTTGGGAGTTAGTTTTGGGATTGAGAATAAGGGTGCAGGGTAAATTTGGGAATCCCTCGTCGGCGTTATAAATTTGAGATAAAATTAAAACTTGGCGTGGGCACGTTTATGCGTGTATGGGTTGCATAAGAAAGAGAGGGCAACAAGATCGCCATCGATGTGTTTTTCTTTAGGCAGGCACGTTCCCTCCATAAATAGTCATGCTGTTTTACAAACAAGATAGTCTGAATTACCGGCGTGACATTCCTTCCTCGGGAAATCTACGGGCAGCCTGCCTTCACCACACTCAAACTGGCTTCCTGCACATGCTGCCTGCTAAGAGTTTTGAGAGAGGCAGAAAGAACGTTAATTTGCTCTCCGAGCTTTGCCTGTGCAGCCCACAAAAAAAAAAAAAAAAATACCAGGCTTACATAATGCGGAGTAATAGCAGTGCAAAGAGTGCACGTTGACAAGCAAGCTCCCATCACTCTGGCATCTGAGCTGGGGCTGCAGAGAAGACGACGAGAAGGAGGGGGAAATAAAAGGCTTTGTTGAAGTTGTAACGCAGCCCGTGTCGGTCGTTGGGAGCTGTTTTCTTTCTTTCTTTTTTTTTCTTTTTCATTCCTTCGTAGGCTGCCGCAAGCAAATGACGGGTTGTGAAAGTTCCTCAAGTAAAAGTCGAAGAAAAAAAAATGGCAGAGGAAGTGACACAGCCAAACAAGTCTGTCACGGCTCAGCTCGCAAGCATTTTCATTGAGATAGCGACCAGGACATTCAGTCCAGTGAGGTGTTTTGCACAATAAATAAAATCGAATATGGGGAAAGAGTCTGAGGTCGACGACATTTCTTTATAGCTCGACTAACTTCCAATTCCTCTTTTAAAACATTGATAGAAATAATACAATCTACTGTAAAATTAAACAACTATTACTCTGAGTATATTTCTTGGTTACCTCATGTTTACGCGGCCAAATTTTGCCTGTCAAAAAACATGTCGAATTGAATTTTTACCAAAAAATGAGTAATATCCATCCATCCATGCATCCATCCATTTTCTAATCCGGGCACACATAGACAAACAATTGCCCAGGAGTATTAATTTTTATCCAAAAATTTAAGATACATTTTTGAAAAAAAAAGCATAAGAATTTTACAAATCAACAAAAACAAACCTAATAGAATTATTATTGGAATAATTTTGTTTTTAATATGTTCAATAAACAGCAATAAAATGGAATGTTGACTCGAGTAGTTAAAATATAAAACATTCTTCGTTAATAGATTCATTATTTTTTTTCAAAAATATTGTCAAATTTAACGATCATTTAATAGTTTGCAGGTCATCAAATGATATAAAATTCCTGTAATATGCAAGCTTAACCGCTAAGAGCCCCACATGGCCCAAAAAATGCAAAGGGAGGCAATGACAATCACTCATAGTTTGGCAGAAGCTTTGAATATAAATGAAGATATTGTAGGTCTTAATCAGGATGATGCAGATGAGTCACTCCATCTCAATGTCATGTTCCGATAAATCTGACAAGCATTTTAATGCACTGTTGTCGGGCTCCGACTAAAACAATAGCGTCTTAGTGTCATTGGTGGATTTCTCCTTGTTTTTGTCTCAAATTCCTCATCTGACGGAAGTATGTCAGGATTGGCGGGGAGAAACAAAAAGCTCTACTGTGACTGAGGAGGAAAAAACAAACAACATGCGTGAATGTTTTGTAAGCGGACAACAAATGTAAACATTTCAATTTGATTTCAAGAGAGCCAATGCGATTAGCAGCAGGAATCCGCTTAGGCTGCTGTCTCAGCCTTGACAGTGGATCTAAGGTTTGGTGATAGTTATGGACTTCGGGTTAAGGACTGATTTAGGGGTGGGGGTAGGATAAAAAGGAGGGCGGAGTTAACTCGGTTCTTCGATGGGATAGTCAATAGGATCATCGATTATAAAAGGATGAGATATCACTGCCCTATTGCGGGGTCGGCTGCAGTCAGATAACGGGGTGAGAGTCGTCAGTGGTGGTCGGAGGAATTTTGGTTCGGTTTCGGGATAAGGTTAAGATTCGAGTCCCCGTTAGTGCAAGACTTAGAGGGCTCCACGGAGCAAATGAAGCTTTCATCCGGAGTGGCGGCATACTTGCCCAGATTAAACTCTGTGATCTGTGCACATGTGCACAAGTGCGAGCGAAGTCAGTTCAAAGCGCGCAAGGAGGCCCGCTGGCTAGGATCCCAGGTCTTGTGACGCACCGTCAGGAGTTCTCTTCAAGAGGAGGGCTCGGGGAGAAAGGAGGGAGTGGGGGAGGGGGGGACAGGTACCTTCTGGGTCTTCCGCTGACTGGAAGTTCGTGTTTATGCGTCCCCACGCTGTACAAAGTTATCTGATGGTTCGTCACGCACTTGTTTTGTTAAGCTGTCGGCCGAGCGCTGATTTAAAGTCTGGACGGAAGGTCAACGTTTTGTTTCGCGCCAATGTGGAGCGATGGTGTTTACGCACAATTTATTGCAGCAGCAGCAGCAGCGGCGGCGGCAGATTTGTGTTAAGATATGATTAATTCTTTACAGCGATCACCATATAGTACCTTCTGTGCTTGCATGAAACATAATTGATCTGATGGCCTAAATTCTTCACACTTGGTCGCCTTTTTTTTTCCTTACCGGGCACTTAACGGTACTCAGAATAGGTGTCACACACGTCATCAACCGGCAGGAGAATCATGTCTATCTCCAGGCCAATCGGCAAACAAATGCCACGGTAATGATAGAAAAATAAAAACATCAATAAATTAATGTTGTAATAATATAACTGGCGGCACGGTGGTCGACTGGTTAGCACATCAAAACTAGGAATGAAAATCGAACATTTAATTTAAAAAAAATATCTCATTGTGTGCATACGTGTGTGTTAAGTTAGCTTCCTGATTCATACAAACATTCCAGCACAATGCTGACAGTCTTTTGTCAACTAAAAACAATATTTGTGGCTTCACCTTGAAAAGAAAATGTCTCCTTTTGCTCGCTCATTGCTGGCAATTTGGCACGTGTTTCCCTGGCAACATCTTTTTTTTTGGGGGGGTGCAGGGGGGGTTTGCTCACCACAGAGAACGAGAGTGGAGCCATTGTGCTGCTCTTACACGGCAGCTTTTAGAGCAACAACTCTCCCACCACTGCAAAACGTCAGTCGGTGACAATAATAAGATGATCGTAAAATATTGGTGTATAAATGCATGCCAGGTACACCAGCATAATATCCATTATGAGAACAGCATCAATACACATATATTTGCAAAGATGACAAGAACCTCTCAAGGGGGAAAACACACACACACACACACACACACACACACACACACACACACACACACACGCGCGCGCGCGCACTGTAAAGGTCGGGTCTGCTCTTTCAAAGGCTTTTTGCGATAAGATGCGCAAAGCTAGACGGGGTCGGCATGAATAACCTTTATGGATGTCTTTCACTTCGAGTCCTGTGCAGTCAACCTCCCTTTCAGCCCACCTCGCGCTTATCAGTAAACTATTACTTCTCGGCAAACACGGCTATGGCGCTTTCAAACAGTGCGAGAGCAAACACAGATATCCACTTAAAATGTGCCACATGTTGTTTTTGTGCGACTGGTAGAAAAAAACAGACATGTGGGATTCCTTGAATGAGCCAGAAAACAAAGCAATAGATGCATCATTTGGCCAGCTCATTGTGTGGAGTGTCAGCTCCCTAATGTGATTGTGTAACAATTCGATCTTTGCATACCTACAAGCACAAAACCAAAATGTGCTGCCTTGTTCAAAACAATGAATAACACCGATCACGCGGACTCTATTTGCCTTAAAAAGTGTGCATGGAATTATTTTTTATGTCATATGTTGCTTGGGTTGTTCAAGGTGACAGATTCTCAGTCAGTTCCGAGGCGTCTTAATAATATTTTTGTGACATGATTTCATCAGAGAGATCAGCATAGCTTTTGAGTAGAAGATTTAGAAGGCGGGGAATCTAGGCTTGTCGCGTTGATTATGAGGGATCAATTAAAAGTCAATTTGCTTCCCCCTTTAACATTTGACACCATTGTGTTCCCCACAAGGTGGCGTAGGCACGGCGGCCACGCAGCTGTGCAAAACAGTGAAGGACGTCACAGTTTTTGGCACGGCATCGGCCAGCAAGCACGAGGCCATCGGCCAGGCCGGCGTCACGCATCCCATCGACTACCGCACCAAGGACTACGTGGAGGAGGTCCGCAAGATCAGTCCAAAAGGTGAGAGGGTAGAGGGAAATTCAATGGCTTGAAATCAATTCAGTAACTTTTTAGCCCCAAACACTACTCCGCCGCTGTGGGTGTGGTCACAGCATTCAATCATGTCCAATTTAAGCAACTCCTTTTATTCCTTTTAAATCCGGCGCGACTGTCACACACTCGAGTCTTGACATGGCGGAATCACATCTGCACCATGAAGTTTGCACTTGGTGAGCGATCTGTCTGTGCTGTCTACGAAAATCGAGCCCAATGTCTCTAATTAGACATCTGGATCAATGCCCACCGCCTTCTGCTGTGTGTTATTTGTGCATATATGTTAATATGAGCACTTTTATTTTGTCTCCCATACAGGACTCGACATAGTATTGGACCCTCTTGGAGGATCAGATACCCACAAGGCCTACAACCTGCTGAAACCAATGGGCAAACTCATCACCTATGGTCAGGAAAACAATGCAAAATGCACCTCGTTGACAAACGTATTGCTCCACAGAAATTATGTTTCTGGGTTAACAATTTTAACACGTGAGCCAAAAGAAAGTGCTAAAAACAAACTCAAGAAAATCCCATTGAAAATTGTATCTTATTACCCTTCAATGAATATTTAGGGTTGATTACACTTGATTAGCAACTACGCTTGCAACGATCACACGCAAAAGTCATTCAGCGCCATTTAGATAAATAGAGCGATCAGAGTGACGATGGCATAACGATTTCCGAACCCTGCAAAACCAAACCAGGGCTATACAAAACTTATTGAAACCAAATTTTGAATTGAAACTCAAGTGCCACATGTATTTTACTGCTGCTCCCGTCATTTCCATTTTAACAGATATAATACAGCAGTTCAGTAGAGTGTAGTTCTATTACCCTCACCGGTTATTCCTTTTATTCCCAAAGCATCAATTTACCAGTTAACTTCTTTATATTAATATAATTTTTTTTTGGAATTTGGCAAAAAAATGCTTGTTTTTCTTAGAGATAGTTGTGAAAGTCTTCTCCGTTTGTGTCTTCACGACTGCATTATACTGCCCCCTATGCAGTCCGTGCAAGTGTGGACCGTGGGAAGGGCCTCCATAATGGGAGTGGGTGAGGACGGCATGCGCGGAGAACAGAGCTCTGGCTTTTTCATGTCGCACACAAATCCTTGCGTGCGGCATCCCACCCTCACTCATTCATCCTGGACCATCTCTTCCATCTTTATCAGCACTATTCAGAACCAAACAATGGACCACATTCTGTATACTCCAAAGATGTCATGTGGCAGAATCCCAGGGTGTATGCTCTACAAATGTGGGACCTGATATGACGCACTACGTAAACGACGCATTTCTTCTTCAGGTGCCGCAAACATGCTGGCGGGTCAGAAGAAGAACTTGCTGGCCGTGGCCAAGAATTGGTACCACCAGTTCTCTATCCACACCCTCAACCTGATCCAGAGCAACAAGTCGGTGTGCGGCTTCCACCTAGGCTATCTGGAGGGCGAGACGGAATTGATCAGCCAGGCCCTGAACGCCATCCTGGACCTCTACAAGCAGGGCAAGGTCAAGCCCCGCATTGACTCCACCTGGCACCTGGAGCAGGTGAATGTCCGCCCAGTGCAATTCACTTCTCAATACAGTTATCAGAAGTGGGATGCAAACAGCAGGTGGCCCCAGCTCGATAGACCCTAGAAATATAAGGGTGGGGGTGGGTAGAGATGGAGCCATCTCTAGCGATTTCCATTAAGGATAAGAATTTTAGGTGTTCCGTTAAAATTGGTGTCAGACGTCAGATACCATCTGTGACATTACAAAGAAGGCCAATGTCTCAGGCTGGGCCAGACAGAGTCAGACTGTTGATGAGGAGAAAGCTGCCAAAAGGCACATTATGAATGGAAGTGTGAGGAAACGGGGAAGAGACTGTGGCACTCGGTCAGCAATTGGATCTTCTGAAATGACGCCCTCCCGCTGTTCATCCTTTTCTTCTTCTCCTCAGACATTTCTCTGCCTCTCCATCTGTAACAGACTTCTGTTTTTTTTTTTTTAACCAGGGCTATACAAAACTTATTGAAACCAAATTTTGAATTGAAACTCAAGTGCCACATGTATTTTACTGCTGCTCCCGTCATTTCCATTTTAACAGATATAATACAGCAGTTCAGTAGAGTGTAGTTCTATTACCCTCACCGGTTATTCCTTTTATTCCCAAAGCATCAATTTACCAGTTAACTTCTATATATGAATATATATATATTTTTTGAATTTGGCAAAAAAATGCTTGTTTTTCTTAGAAATAGTTGTGAAAGTCTTCTCCGTTTATGTCTTCACGACTGCATTATACTGTCCCCTATGTAGTGCGTGCATGTGTGGACCGTGGGAAGGGCCTCCATAATGGGAGTGGGTGAGGACGGCATGCGCGGAGAACAGAGCTCTGGCTTTTTCATGTCGCACACAAATCCTTGCGTGCGGCATCCCACCCTCACTCATTCATCCTGGACCATCTCTTCCATCTTTATCAGCACTATTCAGAACCAAACAATGGACCACATTCTGTATACTCCAAAGATGTCATGTGGCAGAATCCCAGGGTGTATGCTCTACAAATGTGGGACCTGATATGACGCACTACGTAAACGACGCATTTCTTCTTCAGGTGCCGCAAACATGCTGGCGGGTCAGAAGAAGAACTTGCTGGCCGTGGCCAAGAATTGGTACCACCAGTTCTCTATCCACACCCTCAACCTGATCCAGAGCAACAAGTCGGTGTGCGGCTTCCACCTAGGCTATCTGGAGGGCGAGACGGAATTGATCAGCCAGGCCCTGAACGCCATCCTGGACCTCTACAAGCAGGGCAAGGTCAAGCCCCGCATTGACTCCACCTGGCACCTGGAGCAGGTGAATGTCCGCCCAGTGCAATTCACTTCTCAATACAGTTATCAGAAGTGGGATGCAAACAGCAGGTGGCCCCAGCTCGATAGACCCTAGAAATATAAGGGTGGGGGTGGGTAGAGATGGAGCCATCTCTAGCGATTTCCATTAAGGATAAGAATTTTAGGTGTTCCGTTAAAATTGGTGTCAGACGTCAGATACCATCTGTGACATTACAAAGAAGGCCAATGTCTCAGGCTGGGCCAGACAGAGTCAGACTGTTGATGAGGAGAAAGCTGCCAAAAGGCACATTATGAATGGAAGTGTGAGGAAACGGGGAAGAGACTGTGGCACTCGGTCAGCAATTGGATCTTCTGAAATGACGCCCTCCCGCTGTTCATCCTTTTCTTCTTCTCCTCAGACATTTCTCTGCCTCTCCATCTGTAACAGACTTCTGTTTTTTTTTTTTTTTTACGCCCTCCCTCCTCTTTTTTTTCCTATTCTCTGCTTCCCTCCTCCCCGCCTCTCTTGTTGCCATGGGAACACCCTGTCGTCTGTGCGCATGCGTCTGGTTTAGGGCGGGGTCCCTGATGCAAGAGACAGAGATGAGGATGAGAGGGAGGGGAGAAAGGAAAAAAAAAAAGCATGGCGAAGTTCTTCACAAGGCAACACCTTGAATCCTTCCGTCAATGCCTCGATCTAATCCTTTCCGAGAATCATAACAGCGAGGAATGGCACAGCGGGTTTATTTATAGTCACACTCGCTGGCCTCTTCATGAGGTACACGCCATCCCCCCAAAAAGTCAACAAATTTTGTCTTTCTTTAGATTGATGGTAAAGCTCCGTTTTGATGGTGTACCTAATATTTGTCCGCTGCATTCACATCCTAACGTATTCTTATTAGAGGGCTACCGGTTATTCTACATCCCCCTCCTCCTTTCCTTCATTTCCCATGGAGTGTGGAAACCGTCAGGGCTTTAGGTTGCTAGGAGATGGCCCCTGTTGCCGTGGCACCGGTCGATAGGTGGTCCACCCGCCTCGCGTTAGTGATGACGAGAGAGGAGGCATGAAGAGACGGAGGCGGTTCGAGGCGTCGTCGGCGCGCAACAAGTGGAATCGCGCAGAATGCGAGAGCAACTTTGACCTCCCTCCTGCTGGGTTATGAATCGTAACAATGACTCATAAGAAGATATTAGCATGACATTTTTGCCATGGAAAAACACCAGCATCACGATACGGGTTGATATTGTAAAGGTTGAGCGGTCTTTGCTTTTTGCATATAATGTTGTTCAGTTGGCTTTATCAAGCCGGAGATATTCAACTCTCACTGGACCGGTTCGCGGCCGAGTGTGAAGCGTTTGGAGCACAGAATCAGCGCCTCCAAATCTGTGGCCGTGGACATTCCAACCAACCAATCCCTCTTCTCTCTCGTTTTCTCTGCAGGTGGGTGACGCCATGCGAAAGATGCAGGAAAGGAACAACATCGGCAAGGTGGTCCTCATTACGGAGCCTATGCCCGAGGAGGAGAAGAAAGAAGAGGCACCGGTGGCAGACAAGAAGAAGGATGACAAGAAGAAGGATGACAAGAAGAAAGACGACAAGAAGAAGGATGACGGCAAGAAGGAAGAGAAGAAGGACGACAAGAAGAAGGAGGAGGCCAAGAAGGATGAGGAGGAGAAGAAGGAAGAGGTCAAGAAGGAAGAGAAGTGAAAGGGGGGAGGGGATCCAGATTGGTAGTTTGGGGCTGATGGTGGGAGTGGGGTGGGGAGATTAAACCACTCTCATTCCCATCCAGATCTCTTTTAGTGATTACTCCTGCCTAACCATTAAAAAAAAAAAAAAAAATCACCTCATCAGACAGTGATTTTTTTTCCTTTCCCCCCACCTCCCGGTGGGTCGCCCATCTCCACTCACCCTCTCCCATCTATAGCCACCTCTTCCAACTGTGCTTAATTATCGTTACCTGCTCCCCCTTTTTACTGTCATGGACCTCACGCACAGACAGGCACAAAGACGACCAAGACGAACCGCACCCACCCTTCCTACCGCCCTCCAGTTATGTCACTCAGATGAGTCAGCGAGTCCTATGATTGGTCACCGCTCAGCACCAACAAGTATCCCCTGCTAATTTGACAGAGCGCCACAGTTAATAATAGTCGCTCATAGAGAGCCTCTCTGTGTGTAAGATGAATTGGGCAGTGGGAAGAAGAGGGGCATGTGGGTCTTTTTTTTCAACTGCTGACGGCCACAAGCTGAAAGAAGCACTGTCACACCGAGGCCTCCCTCTCGCTCCTTTTCAGCAAGTCCTGCCGGTCACCCCAACTCAACCAAAAGGGTGGGGGTTCCAGTACAAGCCTCCAACCCCCTCTTCTTCCCGTTCCCTCTCCGTGGTCGGCATAGCAACAGGCGTGAGGCTTGTCAAGAGATGCCACTATCCTTCCCCACAAGCCTCCCCCCCCCCCCCAATGTATGCCATCAATGTATCTCCCCCATTCCTCTCTTCCTCTTAAAGTATTGTAGGTGATAACACTGAAAAGACATGGGCCCTTCCTCTCAAAAAACTAATTCCTTGATAAAGCCTAGTGAGTATTGACAATTGAATGTGAGCAAGTTGTGGCTAAATAAAGTGCACGCCGCCGCCTAGTGGTCGTTAGAAAAGTTCTCATCACGAGCGCAGAATTTTGACTAGATAGCTTCAGGACACCAAACAAACTTACGCAATCCAAAGAATTCTTATCAATGAATTCGTCAGAGACTTTTTTTACCCTTCCTACTTGCTTTCAATATTCTCTTTTCGCTATTGTCGTCGTGCCTTTTTCTGACTAAAAACCGGAAGACATATTTTTTGTTTTTAAAAATACCCAAATAGGTAGTAACTCTTGCCGTCCGTCTGCCTGCCTGTCTGTTAGTGTGGGTGCCCCCTAAATGGCAACTGGTGAATTTGTTTATAAATGTATAAAAAATGTATTAGGAAAAAAATGTGTTCAGCATGAGTGGCCTCCCTCATGTTTTGTGTGCCATTGTGTGTGCGTGCGCATGTGTCTGTCCTCAGGTCATCTGTCCCCCAAACTAACCAAGCCCAGCGCCATCTTTAACCCCCCATTCCCACCCCCCAGCCCCGAGTCCCTTCCTCTTGGGCTGAACAGGGAGGACAAAGTGGTGTTTTGTACGTTTTGCACTCTGTTCGCTGATCCTAATGCACTTACAAACGAGGCGCTCGCACCCCAGCCCCGTCCTCCATCCATTCACCAGATTGCGTGTGGCGCCCCCGAGTGGGCTGGAGTGTGAGCAGAGCGTGGACCCATGCATCCTGTCCAGCTCTGGTTCTGATGACGATGATTATTGTTATTATTCGTGTTTTGTTTTAATCTGCTGGGCTCCCTTTGTGAACCTGTGCACGGTGCTTCTGTTTCGAGTGCCATGTGTGATGAAAGAAACGCGACCCCCACCCCTAAAAAAAAAAAAAAAAAAAAAAAAAAAAAAAAGTAATGTAGTATTTTGTTGGTTTGTTTGGAGTGTTGGGGACCCTTTTTATTTTTAAGCTGTCTTTTGTGTCCGAACCACGTGTGCCAAATGACAATGTATATTCCTCTTGTCAATGCTTTGAATATTTACAGCGCATACAAAAAAAATATATATACAGTATGAAGCTAAGTGTGGTTTTGGATGCATTTTCAATCCTCTTTGGAAGTCAAGATTTCCAGTGCATCTAACAAATATCCCAAACATGTGCTCCGAGAAAGGGTTGTTGTTGTTGTTTTCATTTCTTTTGTTTTCCTCACTTTTGATTGTCGGCTTGTCGCTCGAGCTCATGGGCCCGCACTGTGCCAACTCCTCCTTGCACACAGCTTACCTCAGTCCATCCCTAAACTAGACAGAAACATCCTTTTCACTGTGCTCTACCAGCTCCCGTAAGTGGTCCGCCATGACCCGTCCATGTGTTTACAACCACGTCACAGTGAGAAGGAGCTGCACAAGGTCCATTTTTACACTTCAACATCAAGTGTACATAATGTGAGACTTACTTTCTTTCTTAACTGCATGCACTCGTGTGGCGAGTGAGTGAGCAGATGTTGTTCCGGGTCCAAACCAGACATACTAGCCTGATGTTTGATCCCGTTTAAAAAAAAAACAACAAAAAACACTAGCTGTCTGGAAAGGGAAACTTCATGCATCTTTCGATGTGCAATACTGTGATAAAATGTCTTAGGCCGCCTTCACACCATTTTTTTTTTTACTCTAGATCCTCTGTTTACTAAAGTCAAGCAATGGTTTTCAAACTTCCTAATTATTTTTAAAAATTCAAGCTCTCGAGTACCATCATAATGCCTAATGCTTAGGCCTGCTATGCTACTGTATTGGAACAGTAGCATAGTAGGCCTAAAAACAAGCCAGAGGTTTTGTTCCTAAAAAGAACATTTAACATATGGTAAGCCACTGTAACTTGATGCACAGTTTGAACATTAACGCTGCACTTAAAAACAGCTAAGTAAAATTCTAAAAACCTGTAGTGACTCGCTGCAGTGACCCCTGATTGGACGGGCATAAAGTTTCAACAGCTTCAATAATGACTGAATTAATCAGAAGTATCCAGACAGGTCCAACTCAAGCAAAGGACTCTTAAACCTTCGTGCGTGGCACTAGCAGTTAGCCACGTAGCATAGGGAAGGGGACCAAAGACATTGGCACTGTATTGTATGTCATATAGCTCTGAGGTAAACTGCTGGTTTGTGGATCCGATCACCACTTCCTGCGACATCTTTAAATGGTTTTGCAGCATTTCCAGACACTTATGCAACAGGAGGAAAGTTTCCGAGCAAACACTGCGTGCGGTTCTGGATTGGATGTTACATGCTCCTTTTCGAAGTGTGTGCGGCGAGGAAAGAGGGGCTGAAAAAAAATGCACTGAGACAATAAGCGGTCAATCGTATTCCTTTTTTTTGGGGGGGGGGGGGCTTCTGTGGAGCTGATACCGGCTGTCTTTCAACATGGTTTCTCAGGTCCTTCCAACAGTTTGAGCTCAATTTACAGCACAATCCGTCACGTCCGCGTCCCATTGGTGGAAATGTTCCCAAATTCCACATCGCTTTTCCATTCACGCCTGCCAGCCAACCAGTGAAGCGGTCTCAGTTCAAGTTATTGGCTGATCATGTACAGTAATCGGATGCATGTTTAGTTTAAAAAAAAATGTAATGGTGTGTGTATGTTGTGTGTACATACAGCTTAGTTTAGTGTTCTTGTGGTAGTGTGGTGTGAGAAAGAATGCCCGCTCAGTCATGTGTCAAGTTGCCAAGCGAAGCCTCCAGCATGGGCAGCCACCTAACTCTGGGAATGTGCCGCCTCTCTTCCCCCGTCCCTGCACCAAAATGTTCACCATCCGACCCCTCCGCCCCCTGTCCCCCCGCAACACAGGCTTCCCTCAAACGTGATAATTTTCGCACGTGTTGTGTAGCTTTGTTTGCCCCAATAAAAAAAAAAACCAAAAGAAAAACAACGCTCATCAAAATCATCAATTTTGTTGTTGTTTTTTTTTTTTTTAACCCTTGATGAATTGATGCTGCTTCATTCTGTGCTCGACTCTGAGTGGGCTCCGTGTGGGCCTCTACAGCTTGTAACGCTTCAGTGTGTAATGTTACCATATGCCTTACATGTTTTCCAGGACTAATAAAATAAAAAAAAAAGCATAACAAGAAATATGAAAATTGTCTGTGTTTTGTTTAATAAGTACGATTACATCGATACAGGAGAAAAAAATGTACCAGGGGATTTAACTAGGGCCTAGCCAATACAGAATTATTATTTTTTTAAGGCTGATACAAACTCCAATATTTAGAAGGAAAAAAATTCAAAGAACCCAAAAATGAGTGGATTATTTGAAAAATAAACATACACATTCTAAAATATTTATATTTAACATGTATTTGATGCTTATAATAACAAAGATATTAATTATAGTCATAAGATTTGATTGCTTTACAATACTTTGTCTGACAGTATTTGTTAAATTTTAGAACAGAGAGGAATTTTTGCTTCCAAAAGCGTGCAAAAAAACATGAACTGATGAATTTAGGTTTAGATTTAGGCCACAAATGTATACGCGTGTTCATAAGCAACATAAAGAGTGCAGTTACTGGCAAAATATGATTTATGCATGATGTCCTTTAACATTAAATGACATTTCTTGTAGTCTGGTATTTTCTTTACCATGAAGCGATGATTCTCAAAATAAAAACGACATCACCTTTCCCACGTCAAAATATGTCATCGTACTGTCGACAGAGTTGCATTAAATATATATGATTCCCCTCCGTTGCTTAGCAACCCCACTGATCGACTCGTACAGGCACGGTCTTGAGCACATGGTCTGCAAACGTGTCTGGTAAACGGAAGCAAACCTCGCTGTCTGCGAAGGCTGAAATTGTCTCTCACTTTCGAAAGGGAGTCTCGCAGACGTCGGCGGCACTGGCAATTGCCTCTGGCAGGTTACATTTGCTGACTGAATGTTTTAAGAGATTAAGTAGGAACGCGATAGTTCTTTGTTTCATGTCTTATAAAATAATTTTTTCTTCTTATACACCTATTTGCAAGTGACATAGTTATACTGAATTACATGTTCATATTTTTACGTCTCTAAATGTTCACGCTGTATTTATACATCAGTTGGACGGCCATTTTATTGGAAATGGTTCCAACGAACCACCGTTATAACGTACAGATTCGTTTTGTCCCTCGAGGTACGTTGTAACGAGGTTCGACTTTAATACAGATTCAGTGAAAGAATAAATGTACCCATTTCGCAACGTATGAATAATGCAATCTAAGGATGAATATAAATCTTATCAACATATATACACTGACAGACATTGTGTCGGAATGGGAATATGAGAGGATGGATCAAGATGCAATTTCCCAGCTGTCTCAGGGCAGTAGGCCATTCGCGCTTGCACTCACATCAAGGGACAATTCAGAGTGTTCATATATATATATATATATATATATATATATATATATATATTATTTATTTTATTTGGGGTGGGGTTTCTTGGAAAATTGCAATGCTAAGGCTCTTGTCAGAGCCATTTTGTGTTTACATGTAGGTCGCCATTGTGGCCGATAGGTGTCACTATTGCATCGGGTCATACAGCTATTTAAGCAGGAAGTGCTCATCAATCATCTCTCTCCATTAAAGTTTAAGATGGAGTTCAAAATATTGTTCTTTATGGAAGAATATATCTCTTAAATGTATATACTTATGATTGTTACTAAAGGTATCCCCTTTAATAAAGTCTGAGTATACATTTAGAAAGACAGAAATACACATTTGTACACCGTATTCTGAAATATGTCATTCATTAACAGCAATGGCAATCCAATAGTAGGTTTTTTTTCTTCAAAAGGTTAAATTGCTTTTGATGCAGTTTAACCTGCTAATAATTAAGCGACCATATTTCCTTAAATAGCGGGCTCCTCTCTTATAAGACACCTTATCCTTAGTGTAAAGCTTTATGTAGAGTTTTTAATTATGATTGTGGAAAAATATTTGTTAAAAAGTATTTTGTAAAATGAATGGTCGTCCCATTTATGCATCTTATCCCAATTTGCAATATTACACTATAAAATGCTCAGACCAAATCCCACGTGTAAACGGATAATGCGACCGGGAACTCTCAAGACGTGAAAGATTGACCTTTAATCCCGTGTGCCGTCAATACTTCTGAGAGGCGTTCCAAGTAGGAAGAATCCGGGTAACCGTTCCTGAGGGGCAAAATTCGAGTTTTACCATCTTCCTTTCTGCAGCACGCACTCGTCATCATCAACAGCCTGACTCACCCCGATCGGCCGCCCTGCAGGCTGGTCTTGTGCGGGATGGTGTCCCAGGTCACACTGGAGCCCTTCTCCTTGCTCGTCACAGTGAAGGTGAGGCCCTGCCGGAAGGCGTCTTCCAGCCTGGGCAACAGATTCCTGCTCTTGTCGCAGTCGGGGAGGAAGGCCTCGAAGACGCCCCCTTGGAAGGGCTTTCCAGGAGACGGGTGATGGTCCTGGTGATTCAAGAGGAAATAATTTACTCCTTAGACAAACAACCTTTCACGCTCATATTCACACCTCCACAGAGTGACAAGTGAACCATGCAGTCAGGCGAAATTGTATTCTTACAAACAAGCTTCCCACCTTTTGTATACCATCAGGAACGAGATAGGTGACCTTGATGGTGGCATGCTTGTTGTGACCAGGCAGGCTGAAATTGAGTTTGCAGTGGTTCATTGTGCCCTGGATGCCCGCCGGTGTCGGGTTCTGCGGTGGTCCACTGTGGCACACCCTACAATGGATGTGAACGGCATCCAGGCACTTGGTGCACATGACCACCCCGCACTCCGTCCTATTCATGGAGGTGCCGGCCTCCCCACACACGCAGATGGCACCTGGCTGGGGTTCCTTCTGCTGAGACTGTGTGACTTTGTCATTTTGAGGCGTCACTGACCAGGCGCCATCCACGTTTGCCGGGCTCGCTTTATTTCCTTGGACCGATGTCTTACGTCTATCCATCATGCTTGCCTTTTCCAATTTCTCCTTGAGGATGGAGTCTTTCCTGGCAACTTGACTGTCAGCTCCGTTGGCAAGCTCAGCCTGGCCCTCAAGGTGCGAGATCCGTTCCTGAGTTGCAGAATATGGCTGGGTTTCCGAGGACGAACAAGCGTCGCCGTCGTTTACTTGCCTCCCTATTGAAGCGCTGGTGGGGTCATTCTGCTTGTCTGCTTGGGTTCTGTCTCCAGAAAAGACCTCTCGCAGAGAAGCGGCTACTTGATCGCACAAGCGTTTAGGGCCGGTGAGATACAAACTATTCCTCATCACCCGGACACTAATCTTTGTGAAGCGTCGGCGAACTTCCGCGCAGCAGGCCTGCAAGGTTTCATCTTCCACGCCACTGACGCCGAGCTCAGAGAGGTGAAGCTCATGCACGCAAATATCTGCGCTGATGGTGTCAACCAGTTCCTGTAAAGCAAGCTGGCACGCAGTGACGGCAGACTGCTCGGAGCCGCTGATGACGATGACGGATTGGATCCTCCCGTGCGATCCTCCCTCTTTTAGTTGCAGGTCGCACGTCAAGGTTTCCACTTGGTTGCTGTAGACATCTTTAATATGAAGCCACATCATCGTGGACATGACAACCTCCGCATGGTAGACTTCAGGTTGGTCCTTCTGTCTTTGGTCACTCACGCTAGAGGTCCTGGCTCTGGGCGGAAATGCAGAGGAATTATCTTCAGTCTTCTGAAATCTCTGCTGAGTCGTTCCTGCAAAACTGTTAGTTCTCTTCGCCATGGATCCCGTGTGGACTTTTCCAGGTGATTGGATGGGAGTCCTGAAGGATCTTGTACTCTTCACAGCAACGTCTGAAGAGGTTTTATTCCTCATTAAGGGACGCAAAACTCCACTTGGGTCTCCTGCTGCTTCCGACCTCAACTCATGAGTGGAATGCTTCCTCGGATTCGAGGTTCCGCGTAAGTTTCCTGGAGGAGTCTGTCGTGGTGGGCCGGACTCTTTAAATCGAGCAGCCACATGATACGTTTTGCCATCTTCTGATTGCCGCACGCGATTCTTCCCAACATTCAGAGTGCTTGAGATGGACTGCGACACGGCAAGCGTGTCGCGCTCCTCAGCAGTGGTGTGGCGAGAAGACGGAATTCCAAGAAGACTAGCGACGTCTTCCGTTTCCACCACTCGATGTTCCCGGAGGAGGAATTGCTTGGCCTCGGACACCTCAGTGTAGTCACCGATGAGGAAGACACAGCTGTCATTGTCACTGAGAAGAAGTTTCGGAAATCTGACACGTAACGTCTCCATCGCTTGCTGCAGGTCCACCCTAGGGTCCAGGTCACTCTTGCGTAGCTCAGCCTGACAGATTCTCCTCTCGCTCTCCTGGTAAAGCTCACTTAGTGCCGTCCTCGCGAGCTCTATGCGGTCTCGTTCCTTGTCGCCATCGCCAGTTGTGACTCGCAGAAACAGAGTAGTGATCCCCTGATTGGTCACGTCCACCACTTCGACGCCATACCGACTCAGTAAGCGCTGGTACTCGTGGCCATGGTGCTTCTGCAGATACTGGAACACGTCTGCATCCACCATCAGCGAGAGGTCCTCTTCAGGGGTGGGAAAACCACCAGTAAGATCTCTTTCATCTCCTTTCTTCCTGGGGGTCTTGATCGGAAACTCTGAGGAACTAACAAAAGGTCGACCTGAGCCTGAGAGCTCCAGTGACTGCGGATCTTCAGGATGGGAGCCAAGCAGCTGGGCTAAGACTGACTGCACTTCGGTATAGGCACCACGCAGTCGGCATAATGTCTTTGTCGAGTCGCAGCTCGTCTCAATACTGGGGTGCTCCCCGAGCAGACGAGTCAACGTGCTCCTTCCATTGGGAATCTGACTGCAATCCACAGTCGCTGTTAGACTTGTGATGACCTTGGAGAAATGAGGAAAAACACACATTTAGGCCTTCCTGAAATACTTGTTTCTTTGTCATTTGTTGGTAACCGTCTAAAGATGTTTTATTTCTTTTCTTTTCTTCTTCTGCTGCTGCTGCTGCTGCTGGTGGTGGTGGTGGTGAATAGTGAATGTCAGGGCTTTCCACGTACCTTGTTAGGATCCAGGTTTTGGCGATGCTCGCTGACAGTGAGCATGTACTCTTTCCCGTCCACTTTGAGAGTGTGCTGGCCATGTTGGATTACTCTCTGGGACACTAGGAGATAGTCAATGTGAGTGTGACTTAATGGAGAGATGTTATGCTTTTTTTTTCATATTCTTAAAAGGTGTTCAAGTGTCTGAAAAAGTTGTCTTTGAAAGCATTATTATGACCTCCACTGAAAACAAATTTATTTGATACATTTTTTTTTCTGTTATGGTCCACTTGCATTTGGGCCAAACGCGGGAATCATCAATCAGCCACATCCAGCAGATGAACATGTTAAGGACTGTGCTGTCCTGGTGGAGGTCTGCATCATAACCTAACACTGACCTCCACTGTCTTCAAACTGGACCAGGGCACAGTCGGGCTTTGTCCCATCAACTGTAACAGACACAATTTCCCCTCCACCGTTTCTGGGTCTCAGGAAGTAGACGGTTAATTTATCGATCAGCCGCTCTTCTGCAATGTCTGCAGGAAGGCCGCTCACTCGCACAGTCCTGCTCGCCTCTTCCATCTGCTGACAGACGACACAAGCACTCACAACATTAGAATCTAATTACATTTATTTTCAATGTTGCAAATATGGATCAATGTAGCAGTAACAGCAGTAACAGCAACCAGTGCAACTGTAGAACCAACGTCATATAAATATTGTTCAATTATTAACTTGAGATAGGACATGACACTGATTGAGACCTTTACCTAATATTGTGTCCATCTCGACTTTTTTGACAGACATTTGGCAGTGACACGCAAAACACACATTTCCCGGCGGTTGGTAATAATAAAAAGAATAATAAAACCTACTACAACTTTTTCGTACCATTTGTGCAAAAGCCGCGCATGTTTACAAGCTGTCAAATGCAGGAAGTGAGACAAAACACGTCTAATCCCCCATTCAAAACGGCGTTTTAAGTCTGTAACTAAATGCCCAAGCTATAAAAGCTACTTTTTACCTGCAAAATGTGTATCTGTTACCTTACAGACTCTTCGCGGTGGTTTATATGTCGCTTTTTATAGAGCGCCAAACACTCAAGAGCCAATACTAAAGTGAAACTGTCATTTGGCCTGTCCGTGTCAGGGGGCGATCGAGTGCGCTCGTTTACCCTAACAAGCCCTGCTCTGACACGAAGAAAAGTTGAGCATCTACATTATGCAATGTTAAATTTGGGTGTTTTTAAAAACAAAACTCTTCATTGTTTTACAGGTTAGTGGAAAACTAACTGAAATAATTTAAAGAGGAAAATAAAATGAACTTGGAGCCACTGTAAAGTGACGTTTGTGAACTCTGAAAGGACGTTTGGGAGGAAACTATCAAATAAACAGCCGTATAAATAAGTTTACGATAAATTGTGAGCTTTGTTTTATACTATCGGACCTACTTACCCGCAAAAGCAAATTAGCATGTTTAACATCATAGAGCAGAAGGTGCTTTAGAGATAAATCAAATACCGGATAATTCAGGAGTGGACTAGGAAGCTAAAACCGTAGAAGAAGAAATCTAGCCAATCGGATGCCATGTTACTTCAGCCGACGCGCATGCGCGCTGGAGTGGCGAGTTCATGTGCTGCACGTCGTGTCCGGTGGAGGTCACAGACGCTTGAGCGAAAAACAGGTGAGTTATCACACATGATGCCTAAAAGAGACGGGAAACGTTCGAATTTGGCCCAGCGATAATTCTCCTGCGAGCTTTTGAGATTATTTCAATGTGTTGTGCGGAGCTAATGTTGTATCTTTTAGCGTTCAGTAAGCGAAGCTCTTGAGGAGCCCGATTAGCAAGAGATAAGTGTCCTCCTCCCTCGCGTGCTGCTTATTAATTGGTTCGCTTGTGGTTATTTTGTTCTTTTTCGAGTGTGAGTGATGCGCAGGTGTGTCATTTCACACGGTTTTGTTCTCGTATTTTTCCCCACTAGCTGTCTTACTAGCTAGCTATTGAGTAAAGCTACGCAAGTTGACGCCTTCAGTCTCTCCCCTGCCAAAGTCAACAATGCGTGGCCTCGAAATGACTAAAACATGCTCTGAAACTCAACTTGTCTTGTTTTCTTTTGCAGTAAAACTAGATTTTCCACAATGGCCAAGCTGTTTGAGTCGATTGGGAAGCTGGGACTGGCGCTGGCCATTGGTGGAAGTGTTGTGAACTCTGCCCTATTCAATGGTGAATCCCTTTTTAATGGAAATAATGCAATAGATTTTATCATCAAAATGACACCCTCACAAGACATCTATGACTCCTAAAGGCTGTTATAAATATTATTTTTCTTGATTGTCATACAACAAGTTGCATAGTTAAGCCAAAATAAATTAAATGTACCAACAATTTAATAACAACTGGCAGACATGGCAGAAAACAGTTGGTTATTATGATTTCAGCTACATATTATGACATAAGTATCTGCTTGTGTACTGAGCAACCAGTCCCTTTTAAATATGCCTGAATATCAACTGCATGGTTGAAGTGACACAATTTCAATTCCCCAAACACACACACAAGTGGCAAAGCCATCATGACAGTGTAAAAAAAAAAAAAAACAACAACACAGAATTTATTTTCAGATTGTATTCAGGCATATTGCAAATCTGGATGAAAACCTGATCAGTATTGGGAATTTGCTAATGCGACGTAAACGTGCAGATTGGATATACCACTTCAATGCCTGCATGATGTCATCAAAGCACAGAGTTTGGTGAGCTAGCCGCACAGCGTCTGCTCAAATGCTTGAAATATCAATGTTAAAAACATGTGTCGTGAATCTACAACTACACTGAAAGTTAAGTAGGGCCTAAATATACTACATATCGTTTAGCCATGTCAGCCCAGGTCAGCTAAACGATATGTAATGTTGAAGAGCGACAGAACCGACTTCAGGAAGCAGCCTGTGTGCCTGCAGCCAGCCACAGTCCTCTCTGCAGTGGGCAGCGCCTATCCAAAAGCATAATTTCCTCCAGTATGTCTTCAGACTTCGGAGGGAAGCTTTTCTGCTCCTCCGAAGCTCGTTATGAAAGAAGAGGCACAGAGTGAGATGTGGAAACAGTGTCCTAAATAGGCAGACAGTTAAAGCTGCTAATATCGCTCACACAAATGAATTTGTTGATTTTTTTTTTTTTTTTAACAGCTTATTTCTCTCCAAAACACAATTTTCTTCTGCTGGTTAACTTCTACTATTTGTCTTCCTGTGACAGTTGATGCAGGGCACCAGGCGGTGATATTCGACAGGTTCCGGGGCGTGCAGGAATCAGTCGTCGGAGAGGGTACTCACTTCCTCATCCCATGGGTGCAGAAGCCCATCATTTTTGATTGCCGTTCCCGTCCACGAAACGTGCCCGTCATCACAGGAAGCAAAGGTACGTTGCTTAACCCGAACCTTAAAGCATTAATACATTAATGCATCATAGCCTTCAGGTTAAAATGTGATACTTCTCTCCCACAGATCTGCAGAATGTCAACATCACGTTACGAATCCTCTTCCGGCCGGTGAGCACTCAGCTCCCGCGCATCTTCACCAGCATTGGCGAGGACTATGACGAAAGAGTGCTGCCGTCCATTACCACAGAGGTGCTGAAGGCTGTTGTGGTGCGTAATATTTTATTTGACTCATTGGGCCCAGTTTGGATATTTGCCAATACTGATGCGCGATGGTTTGTCCTTTTAAGGCTCGTTTTGATGCCGGCGAGCTCATCACACAGAGGGAGCTGGTCTCTCGCCAGGTCAGCGAGGACCTCACAGAAAGAGCCTCCACCTTTGGCCTCATCTTAGATGACGTTTCATTGGTATGAAGAAATTATCACTATCGCACGCATCATAATAAAGCAACCTGCTGTAAGGGTAGACCTTAATTCCAATTTGTTGGTCTTACCAGATCTTTTGGATAGCTGCAGGCTTCCAACTTTTTGAAACAGTTCCCAGTAGGTCTGTGTCTGTTCCCAGTGCACAAAGCGAGGGCCATAAAGACATGCTTAGATGACTTTGGTGGGGAAGACCTTCAAATACACTTGAGATAAACTATAACAGAAGTGTCATTGGCAAACTTTATGACAAGGGGTGCGCAATATTCATGGTAGATGGGATAAATTTGGCCTTTGGTCTACTTTTCAACTAACGTCCAATCACGATAACGCTTGTTGATGATATCGTATGTGCCTCAGCATAAAAATGGCTTCAAACACATCTGACCACAGAGCTGACGAGCTTACAGACGTACGTGCGTGTACGTCAAACACTCCCACATCATCTCTGTTTCCTTGGCTGCCCCGGAACTACCTGCGGTATACTAGATTCTAAGCTAACGTGCTATGTACCAGCTTCAAGCTGCAGCTAGCTAGTGCAGCTAAACATGGTGCGGAGCCGCTCCTAAATCACTAAACCTGCCCCATCCCTGCTTCGTCTGTATAATGTGTGTGTGAGGATGGGCATTAAACAGTGGATTTGCATTATTTCAGACACACTTGACGTTTGGCAAGGAGTTCACAGAGGCTGTGGAGATGAAGCAGGTGGCACAGCAGGAGGCAGAGAGGGCCAGATTCGTTGTGGAGAAGGTAGTTCCTCTCTCTGTTTGGTTTCCCGTGTGATGGAGATGCGTGGATTAAAGCATACTTCAAATGTTGTCTCTTTTTTTTTCTGTTCAGGCGGAACAATTGAAGCAAGCCGCCATCATCTCAGCCGAGGGTGACTCGCAGGCTGCCCTGCTCATCGCCAATTCCCTCATGGAGGCCGGTGATGGCCTGGTGGAGCTGCGCAAACTGGAGGCGGCCGAGGACGTCGCCTTCCAGCTCTCTCGCGCGCGGAATGTCACGTACCTGCCATCAGGGCAGGGCACCTTGCTTCAGCTGCCCCAGTGATGATGTCCTTATCTGTGTAAACTATATTCAGTCGACTGTGTGAGAGAATTATTAGAACTCGCCTTTACAGCTGCTCATGTCTTTCGCGTGTGGATATGAAGAACATATAAAGCACCGTATTCCTCAAGATCAATAAAAAATGTCTTTCTACCGCCCTGTAGTCACGTGAGTCCTGTCCCAAAATTTCCATTGTGCGTCATTATAATTTTGGGCCACAAGAGAGGGCTGTTGTGTGCAATACCAAGGAGGTTCATTTCTAATTTCAGATACTGTATTATTGGGTTTGTGTAGAAAGAAACAGACATATCTATCTATCTAAAGATAGATATGTCTGTTTCTTTCCCACACACACCCACTAATATATACCTACATATATAAACCAAGCAACTTTATCATTCATGAATTAAATAATTTGAGAAATAATTTACACTGAATACCTTAAATACATTTTAAAATATATTATCCTAATTAAAATCCCAAAAGCTAATCATTCAAATGGAGGGAGTTTTAGTTATTTTTTTAATTTTAACCATTTGGCTGGCGTGATAGAATTTACCATTCCCTTTTGGTCAACAATATTCATCATTTGAGGATAGTTAAGCGCATGAGGCAGTCAGATGCATGATGGATTGTTGTCATTTAATCTATTCATTCTTTAATGAATTCAACCTTCCATCACGGATCTCTGGTGGGTGCGCGCGCGTCCCCAGCCCAGACAGCCGCGCGCCTGTCCTCCAGACGGCGGCGGCGACGACGAAGCGAAGGCGGCCTGGCCTGCCTGACTGGGATGAACGCGGGACGCCGACGTCAGAGCGACAAACGAACAACTCAGCTCGGCCGGGCCACGTAGCGCCAGCGGGGCGGCTCAGGTCGCCGGTGGGCTCCCGTCTCGGTTCATCTCGGGACAGCGGCTTCTTCTTCACTCCCTCCCGCGGTTGAAGAAGCGCATGAGACCCTGATCGTGAACTACCGTGCCTGCATGGGCTCCGGGAGGAGGTCGTAGAGGTAAGCCTGCCAAGGAAACAACCAAGTCAGCCAGCCAGCCATCCAGCTAGCCAGTTAGCCAGCCGGACCGCAACTTCATCTCGCCTTGCTTAGATGCATGACACGCGCAGGATGCGCTCATTGCTCACCGGTAGCTGTTGGTGAAGCTGCGGTGACTGGCTCCAGTGAGCGGCCGACTTAGTGACAGCGTCGACCCGGGGTGTCAATACAACACCTCATGTTGTTATTATTTAACATTTTATAGGTAACCTTCCTATCGTACACTCTCGACTAGTAACATAAACCAAAAATGGTCTTTTATTTGTGTTTTGTTTTTATTTATGAAGTTTTCCAAAAGCTGACACACTTTTTCCTCTCCTTGACGCGCCGTGTCGACGTTGTTGAGTTGCCGCTGCTCAAATATTTGACGTTACTGTTAGCTCTATGCTAACTAGCATAGTGTTGGAGGGATTTGGACTGGTTAAAAGACAAAAGTGAAAGTCTCCTCGCAATTGTTTTGGGAACACGTCATTAAACTTAGCTCTTTTAGTGTAATATTTTGACCGGTGGTGCAACTGTCGTGGAAAATTTGACATGCCCTTTTCTGCTAACGTAGCCAAGTTAGCTTGTCATGTGTGTACAGGTTAATGTAGTTGTTGGGGGGGAGTAGCTGAGCATGCTAAGTAGCTCAAGTTAACCGGGGCCTGTGCTGTGTTGGTGCAGTTTTCTGCGTTTGTTTTAACCCTTTGCACCCTTCTCGGTTACTACGCGAAGAACCATTTGACTGGCATTGCCAGCATTCGACCAGAGGAAGTGGAAAAACACAACCCAACTGCAGCCATAATTCCAAAAAATGATGTGGAATGGTGGCAAACCACCTCCCCAATGGCAAACACAAGTCGGGCCCAGTTTAGACTTTCCTGAACACTTAAATAAGATGGTCATATGTTGTTTTTAATTTAATAGCTTCTCAACGATGACATTTTATATTTCGACAGATTTTTGAGGAAGTATTAGTCTTTCCACATCTTCACCTACAAAACGTCTGAATGTTATGAGTGAAAAAAACATTGTCACAATATGCAGAAAAGTTATAATTGTATGGGGGGGGGGGTAAAATCATATTGTTATGAGTGAA